TGCTCAAAGAATCAGTCAATAGCAGCGCGACTGTTGTCATTATTAACACAGCCTGCAAACAGACAATGTCACTGCACATAAATGGAACCTGTTAATTCCATCGCCAAGCAAATTTATCCATAACAACTTAGAAACTTGGCACAGTGTATAAGGAAATCTTATTTCCGCTAGCCAAGATCAGTGAGATATAAGGTAGAGCAGTAAAGTGGGAGTGTTTCCATTGAAAATCCGTAAATATTCACTGATTACTGATTTAATCAGAAGCTGATTACTGATTTAATCAAATCCGCTTTGAGAGAGAAATTGCGGAAAATAGCTACGGAAGAAAGGTAGTCGCACGCAGTTGTTGAACATGATTTTCGGCGTGAAGTCGATCTCGATAAGTATTCTGGTTCCTTAAAGGAAAAAGAATATTCGCGTTGGAATCCCGTGGAAGCAACAATCTCGCTAGAAAAATTGAACATGGAATAAGAGATCCGTTATTCATGTGCTCCTCTTTCTCCCTCTCTCTCTTTCTCTCTCTTTCTCTCTCTCAGGTTTGATTTAAGACGACCCGTGCGTTTTCACCCGCCAATAATTCCGAGACTATTGATACCTCGACACTTTTGTCGAGGAAACGCCGGTCGCAAATTGCTCAAATAATAATCTCTAGACGAGGCTAAAAATCACTCAATGACACCTCGCGCACGATTTCCGTCCTCCTCGACGATACTCGAGCCGTCGTGTTCCGTGGCCGTCGTACTCCTTATTTACCTACACATCGAGGCGGCCCGTGAAGTGGCTTGCGGAACAGCCGAACGGACAAACAGGTGGCGAGCCGCGCAGCTCTTAACTGTAAACGGACGTCTTCAATTCCTAACGATAGATCGGCCGCATGCCACTCGAAATGCCATCGGTCTCGATCGGCTCTCTCTATCTCTCTCATTATCTCTCTATCAATCTATTCATCTCTCTCTTTCTTTTTCTCTTTCCTGCGCGCCGCACTGAACTTTACAGCGACTTTTTACGAGCGCATGAATACGCGCGCGGGCGAGCAGAGAGTGCGCGTAGAGTAACCGGCGTAACGTTGCATAATGTTTGCGCACCCGTTGTGCGGCCGGCCGCGTCGTTCCTACCGATGAAATCATTTCCGCGACTTTCTGACATTGACTCGGCCACGGCCGGCCCACGTGTTGTACGTACGTGCACGCTTAAGCGGCGCGTGTTCCTACGATCGGCCGGCACGTCGGCGGCCGAGATAGGCCTCTACCTTGTCAGATTGTTGACACAGCCAGTGACACGTTTAATAGGATTATTTATGCTCTTGGAGGCGCTTAAACGGCCCCCGCGCGCCGTCCGTATCGGCTTCATCTACCTGACGGCGCGTAGCATAATTATGTCGACGTGCGCGGCTCTCAGTATCTCGGCCGCGCCGATGTCGATGACGCCTAGCGACCGATCCCTGATCCCGTCTTCGATGGGACTTCTCGATATAAAGCTCCAGGCTCCTTTGTCCGTGAACTCGGCGCGCTACCGCCGCTCGGACGCGATTTAGCCATTTGTTAATAACAATGAAATGTCAATTCGTCGACATTCGGTAGGCAAAGTGGAGTTGACGGTAACATCTCGTCTGGTAAACGTCGTGTAAACGTCGGTCGACTGAAATGTGTCATGTCCGGTTTATTTTTACATGACTTTAATGTCTCCTTTGATATATATCCGGCGATATGTGTAATTTAGTTGACATACACTTGATTTATGCGTCATTATCGCACAAACCGCAAGAAGGGTATTAACATAGCTTAAAAGAGTAACGTGTGATGTGGGAGATGTCCATTAAAGTCGAATTTTCGGTCAGCTCTCGTTGTCCCGTGATTGAGGTACTCCGAAGATACGCTGACTCGTCGTTGTTATAAAGCAACAAAATTATAGGACGTTGCACGCGCAGTAACGCGAGAGGAAGATGACGAGTTTCCCCGCAAAAATATCCGCCCTTTATCGCTCGAGCAGACTATTTTTTACTCGAGTGAGAAACTCCGCGAGCAGCGTCGGCATAAAACTGACGTAATGAGATTGTACCTTGAATTACTGGAGTGCTATGGACGTTATGGACGGTAATTGCTCGCCCCAATGTGTGGATTGAGCGTGCCAGATATATATATATATATATATATATATATATATATATATATATATCTAATATTGGTTTACGTTTCTCTGTACTTTCACTGTTAATTGTTGATATTTAATTCAACGTTTACGTAGCGTGCACTGAATCGCTGGAGCACGTATAGCGCGCGCTCTTATGTAAGCCGACGACGGTAGTCGCGTGTGGGTAGCGCGTGTGCGTGTGTGCCACGGGTATCGTCGTGCCGGGGAGAAGCCGCGGCGGTTTTGAGATGAGTCGAGACTCACAGTTGGATAACGACCGACAACAGTCGTAACGTTAATTACACTCCTCCCAGCCGTGTTTGGAGAAAAATTCATTGCATTGAAGCTTTATTTTTGTGCTTTTTAAAAAGCTCTCTTTCTTTCTCGCCCCCTTCTCTCTCTCTCTCTCTCTCTCTCTTTCGCGCGACACACACGCACTCGTGTGCGTAACGCGCGCGAGTGCGTGTACGTGGACCGTCATTTTCATGATCATTTTAATGGCGCATAAAAAATTTACGCGCCCATTAAAGCACAGTTTGTCCCCATCATATGTTATGTACCAACTATGCTTCAGAGGACTGCTTAAAATTGCATACGTCGAACATTGTACGCGTAACAATACGGAGGATCGAATTATTGCACATCGGGCGAATCGTAACGCCCGCGTTATTTCTTTGTCAATGAATAACAAAGCGATCTCGTAATATTCTGAGAATATCCTTGCCGCATCCTACTCCCGTCGCGCTATCCGCCGCTCGTAGGAAAGTTTCGGTACTGTAAAAGACGGCGATTGTTTACCTTGTCAAAGGGTGGTCACGCTCAAAAGGGAAATTAGACTAGACCGTAAATTGTTTATCAAACACGATGAGACGAGCGACCCTTTTTCCTTTTTAACGCTGTCGCGTCCCCTCGCTTTTCGCGCTTACCGACTGAACTTTTCGCTAAAGCCGCGAGTAATTTTATGTAACCCTTTGAGCGCGGGTTTCTCCTACCGGAACTTTTCTTTTTTTTTTTACCCATCGACGAAACGTATTAGGGCGTTAAATCGACCGTAATCCGGCTGCTCGCCTGGCAACAGCTCTCATCCACACGGCTGCTTTGACAACAATTAATTTCGCGAGCAACGCGATGTAATTGCACCTTTGATTTGCGTCGATCAGTCGGATGCAACGACGAGAGATTCGTGTCGAATTTACGGCAGTTTAGATGTTTCGGGGCTCGAGCGAATCGGGTGCTGAGTGCACAATCGGGGCAACGACGAGGCCAATAAATGGTCGCGGCGCGACGGAAAAGCGCGATTCACTGAGAACCGCTGTCGGCGATATAACGCGATATAAGCACGGATCACAGGCGACAAGCGCTCATTAGCATACAATGCGGGCTAATAGGATCGCACGCTGACGGCTACCGTTCAATACCGCGTCTCCGTGTCGTCCCAGTCACCCTCAAAGTGACTAGTAGGCTACGGTTGCGCTCGCATGAAAAATTGTACTCGCTTTCTTCTGAAGTGCGCCTTGCATGGCTCTGGCGGCCACTAATTTCCCCTCGCGTGCCGAACGTTTGGGCGGAAATTTGTCATCGCGCACAGAAAAATATTATCCTACTGCTGAGAAAAGCGATTACGCAATTTACTTTCCTTCTTTCAAGCGATGGTCATCTTCAACAAAGGATATTCTTTTGATAATAGTCTGAAAATACACTCATCACACACGGAAAAAAAGGTTGGGTTGAATTAACCACATATCTAGTCGAATATGAACGATCCAGAAATTTTGATTGAAGTAACTCGAATTTTGTTTAAGTTAACAAGATTTTTGGTTGACTTAAACAAAATTCGGGTTACTTCAATCGGAATTTCTGGATCGTTCATATTCGACCAGATATTTGGTTAATTCAACTAAACCTTTTTTTCTGTGCACATTTTCGAAAAGCTCATTTATCGCGTGCTCGAAAGAAGAATTTATTCTCTTTACATGAATATTGTAAAACTTTGTCGAAGAAGAAGTTAGGGTTCGACTCCACGCAGTAAGCAAACTGAATTTTCGTTTTAATGTAATATTCTTTGCAATAAGAATTTTATAAGTATGTGTATCTTATAAATATTTGGGAAACTTACATCAGGTTTCGTAGAGTCGACAAATATTAGAAAAAATAAAAAATTTGCAACAGCAAATATTTGGTTTTATCAACGTTCGTTGTCATGAGAAGAGATTGATCGTATTTGTTTTGATGAAAAAAGTCGCTATTAATCTCGCATTATATCACACATAAATATTTTATTATAAACAATATCATTTATTTTCCTTTATTATATTCGGTTATCCAAGTCGCGTTTATACTCGCTCAATACATGTATCAAGAAGAATGCACACATGTGCTCTCCATCACACTATTAATTGATTTCTCGCACATCCACTCGTCCAGATAATTTATCGTTCCGAGAAAAAATGGAAAGATTACATGTTGTACGTTTTCATTACAAATAGTACGACGACGTGTCGATTAAGACGTTTATCTCACATTTGCGAATAATATTGCGATAAAGACCGCACGTGGAACAAGCGAAGAGCGTAGGAGACTCCTCGGCCGTTACTTACGAGACACAAAGACGCGCAGCCGGTGAAAAAATATCGCCGTTGTCGGTTACTATAAGTCTGGATGATTAATTCCACTGACTAATAAGACGTATCAAGCCGTGCCGTTATCGCGCGCGATATCGTCGCGCGCTCCTTTGTCCCCGCGATTTTTCCCTCCCCCCAGGCCGCCGCGCCGGGGGATCCTTTGTCAACGAGATTTTTTTTCACCCGCGATTTATATCGCTCGTCGCGATACAATAGGTTGTACGCGTAACTGCGCGTTAGTACGTACAACTCGCCGCGAATTGCGCCTGCCCTTCTACGTACCTGACTGCCGCCGCCGTCGCCACCGTCGCCGCCACCACCGTGATATACGTGTCCCTCCCTCGTCGAAGGAGATAAAACCAACACGAGCCCGCTCTCCGGTGGGCATTGTGCACCGGCCGCTATTTACACGTCATCGTATAATAGCGGCAACTACGTTCCTCATTACCGCGTCGGTGCAGCGAATGCGTGCGAATGTCAGTTTTAGTGCGGGCAGTAAAAGACGCGAGGTACGCGCCCGTTGCGTGCGTCCGTGCAGTGTGTGTGTGTGTGTGTATGTGTGTGTGTTACATGTGTACGTGCCAGGACGCGTGTAACGTGTGCGTTACGATTGCCGCTGTTCTAACGGCAGCGCCGTGACATCGCCGATTACGTCGCGCCGCGTGGTCGCCCTTTTCATTATCGTCTCGCTGGGTTTTCAAACGAAGGGTTAGACGGCGCGATAAGAGACGGTCGCGATCTCGAAGTGATCCGGCAGTCCAGCCGAGATCCGGCAAATCGCCGAAGTATACAACAACGCCTAGAACTATACCGTGAACAACGGACAAATTGACCATTGAATGCGCACGTTTCGGCGCAGTTCGGAAACTCGTATGTAATTAGTATCCAGGTATGTTCGTTATTATTAGGTTAATGAAATAAGGACTGTTAGAAGTCGCTAGAAGCTACTAAAAAAAAGATAGGATCTAATGACTTAAGCTTTAGTTAACAAGCTCTGCTGATATACAGTCAAAATATTATAAAACAGAGCCGCTTTTTAAATCGTAATCTTTTTATTCGTAAATAATATAAGGATTATAGAATCCATAAGATAATTTATTTGATTCAAAAACCTAGGTCGGTGATTTGAAAGTCTGTTTTTTATTTATTTTTATCATAGAATCTATTTTGTATTTCAGGGCGAACACATCACGGTTTCTTTCGAAATTAAATTATACTTGAAATGTTTAATAATAATTAGCCCTCTATGTATAATGTTGAGTCTACGTAAGAACGAACCGTGGCTTACCAATTTTTGTAAAGCGACTAAGAAAATTTCAGAATAGCGTGAATTTGCTTGCAGATTTTGATTTTATTGTTGACTACTGTTCTATATCTGTAAATACCTTTTTCTCTGGAAAGAAATGTGTTCAAAGATATTATTGTTCAAAGTTATATGGCAGGTCAAAGTTGTTTGACAGACCCAGATTGTATTGTATATCCTAGAATATGATTATACGTAAAGGATTAAATTATACCGTCCTTGATTTTTAAATCTAGCATATGACAAATGTTAAAAAAAAATCGAAGTCCGAAATTGAAAACGCGGAAAATAAATTCAACATCGTCTCGAGCTTCCTGAGACTTTGATTTTTTTTTTAAATATTTCTCACATGTTAGATTTATGGGAAGAATAAAGGAGAATGCGAAGTAATACGGCAGGCCGTGTGGAGAATTATAAAATTGAAATTGAAATGCCGTATCTTTATTGCACGTAACGGGCTACAATGTTCGCGAACTTACGCGCCGTGCTATAATAAGCGTGCGCGGAAATGCATTTCGTTGCTGTTTCGCGGTGATGAAACCGTCGAGGAAACGACGCCTGGTCGTAACACTGTGGGGACGTACCCGTGTAAACTGTCGTATATCTCGCTCGTTATTGTCCCTCACCTGAGACTTAAATAAGGAATCTAGAATTGTCCCCTGGAATTACATCGCCGATTCCAAACGAGGCCGCAAAACATGCAACGCGCACTTCACCGTCCATAATCGTAACAGCCGCGCTCAAGTGAAAACGCACGTTAAATTTTAGTAGGCTAGTTGGAAACGTTCAAAACGTTCCAGCGACACTGTCTCTGCCTAGACGGCGGCATTATTCAGATGTAAATGAGGAACCTCGTGTCGTCGCGTTATAATGCAATTGGATGGATAGTTTGCAAAGTTGACGTTCGCTTTTTGTGTGCAGAAAAGGTGGTCCAGATATTCTCGCAATAAGAAAATACAGATTTTTGTCAAACCACTCATCTTTACCTCGGAGCGATTTTTCTGATATTTCGTTTTCTTCTCGCGGGTGTACACTCGGCCGGCGACAAGTGACTTTCGCGTAACGGCACGTCGTTGATCTAACGGAATCGCGTTGATTATCGAAAGCTGGTGTCCCACGTCGATCGATAAGGATCCGATTTACGAGGCGCGGAGTCTCGTTATCCCGCGTACTATTATCTAAGCGTGCGCGCGCGTACGTACGGGTGTCAATGTACAATTTTACAGGCTGTACCTCGGATCGGAGTTACGACAAGAATTCGTTCGCCTAGGCCGAACTAACCGTAGATCCTGCGGTGGTGCCGACGCAGTAAAAACGTCAATGGCCAAGTAATAAAATTAAACGAACACACGCTGCTTGCTGCAGCAAACGATCGCGCGGCAGCAGGTAGCGGTCGGTGATCGAAAACTCAATGAAAATAGCACGGGTTTGTCTCGTCTCTCGCACGGTCACGGCTTATCTGCCATTTGTCGCGTCCTCAAAATAATCTCAGAACTCGGTTTGCAGGAATATCATTTAAGTAATTTATTTTCTGCGAGCTGCATTACAAAATCATTTCGCTGTCTCTTTCGTTGCTCGGCGAGAAACGAAGTCCATGAGGAGATCGTGGGCGAATGCGCCGAAACTGCGGGACATCGAGATATCGCGAATACAGTTTGCATACTTTTCCCTCTTTATTTCTCCCTTTCTTTCTTTCTTTTTTGTTTTTTATCCCCGATCACACGGTCTCTCGAGCTGTCGCGGGACAAGTAAGTAAGTACAAGCGTGCAACGCGCGTGTTCGCGTTCACGGACGTTTTCTCAGCGCGACGTGTCGCAATCCGGGACCTAAATCAGCTCGTTAATTTTCATTCTTTCACGTGGAACGATAAAATCTGATACCGCGCGGGTCTAAGTATGAGGTACACGTACGTCGATCGCGATCTACATTAACGCAACCTAGAACGAGAGTTTCTTCGGCCGCACCGACAAACGTGCACGCGCGCGCGTACACACGCACAATATGCCGGGCTTAATGCGCCCGTATCGGTACGTGTCATTATGCGACACGCATTAGAGATTACACTGGCAGAGTCGTTGCGACTGGCCGTGTGCATACGGGGTGTTCCAGAAACACTCGATAAAAATGCTGCTCTGGACGATGTGACTTTTTTTCGCGCGGAGAGTTTTCCGCGAGAACTCGCGATTGTCACACTCGCTAACAGTCTCGGAACATTGTTTTATTGCATTGTTTTATGCAGATTTAGGATCGCGTGCGCGAAGAAACGACGTTTGATATTTCATTCGGAACGAACGTCCACATGCATATGCATGCGGGGCGTGCGCGTTCGTTCTTATGCGCGGGCACGCGCGATTCGCTTTCGAAATAAATCGATAAGATCTCAGTCGGACGAGTTTCAAATTAATGTCGATGTGCCCGTCGCGAGCAGGAGGAGTTTATTAACGCTCCGCGTAATATTCATTTGTTCTGCTATTATCACGGTCTCGTGCATAGTTGAAGTTTCGCGATATTCGTGATGTAATCCCTGATAAAACTCCGACTGACCGGGTCCTTATCTCTGTTGCAGCTTTTTGCGGTATCGTTTAATCACTGTTTTTCACACTGAGAGAAAAGACGATCCAATTTAAAATTATAGTTATTCTTGGCCCCAACCGTACTATTTAGTTACTCTAACAAAAATAGTAGTAACTTGTACTTAAAGTTTATTGTGACTAACATTACAGTAGAATTTCATAAAAAGTTTGATAAGTAGTTTTCTTGATCATAATTTTTTGTACTTATTTCTCTATGTCATTATAGTTATGGATACCAAACACTTTTCTTAATGTAGGACAAACTGTAAATTTAACGATAGAAAAGAATAAAAGAAAATCGAATTGTTACGGAAATTAATTCACAATTGTGAATTCAAGATTAGCGAGCGAAAAGAATAAAATTTTCAAAAATTTTATTTTTGTACTGTTGCCGCCACATGTCACATATGTGTGATGCGTCAATTTTCATGAGAGTTTGACGTCACGTGTTCGACAGCGATAATTTTTTCTGCAATGTTCTTATCAATAAACTAAGTCTATTTTAAACTATCACGAAAAAAAAAAATATTAAAAATGTAAGGTAACCAGTAGCGGTGACTGTTTCTAGATGAACAGTGGCGATGAACATGTTAAAGATGCATTGTGTGAGATGCACACGGAGAAAATTTTATAGTAAAAATTATTATAAAATTTTGTAAGCGACGGCTAGATCAACATTCTGCAATAATTGACTATTCTTTCATTTCATATATGCCGTTGTAGGAATTGAATGTGCTATTACAGTATTTGCTGTTACTGGCAAAATTTATTATCTTCCTTACATTCTAAATTTCTTGGAGTGAGACTTCACTTCAAGGTAGTGAAAATTGCGCCAGTCGAAGTTAGAGCGATAATTTCACTCCAAACGAGTGAAAACTCACTCCAAACGAGGGAGAACTCATTCCAAGCAAGCAATTTTTTCACACGTTTGGAGTGAGTGTTCATTCGTTTGGAATGAAGTTCTCGCTCTAACTTCGATTGGCGTAATTTTCACTACTTTGGAGTGAAGTTTCACTCCAAGAAATTTGGAGTGTAGCGAGATGGATAGACCTTATTGTGACAGTTTATTACTACACTACTAGAAATTGTAAAAAAAGTAAAATTGGAAAAAATTATATGAAAAAAACGAGAAAACTAATATAATAATATTCTCTTTGTGTATGATTCAAAGTCACTTGGAGAAATGTAGAAGTTCTTAGAATGACACGGCAAAGAAAAATGTTTATTGTAAAGTCTGTTTCGATAAAAGTGAAGCCGGCATTCACTTTCGGTAGGAAAATAATTGGCTACACAGAGGATTAAGTAGAATTATATGCTAATTACGTTATGCCAAAATAATTGGCAATCGGTTCCGTTGCTTTCTTGAGTGCAATGATGGGATGAAAGTCGAGTTAGTTTATAGAGGGTGATTAGATTAATTAATTGAGACGGGGTACGATAGGTTCGCGAGACAGCCGCGGTTTTGCAATCATTGGTAAGGTTAATTGCAAAATGCCGCGGTATGCGCTAATGGTATTTGCGGTGTTGATGGATCCATCGTCACGACCGAAGAAACTAATGGCGCCGTCGCCGATCGGAGATCGATCAATCGAATTAGAGGATCGCCGAACGAAATGAGCGATCGGACTTATCCGCGGAGAAATGAACGCCGGAGAAAAAGCGGCAGTGATCGATGGTGTGATGAACTCGCGAAGCTCTTACCTTCTCGCTTCATTATTCACCCGACTCACCGGGTTCTGCCCTTAATTTTAAGTGACTTTGATTTAGCAATCACGGACTTTGTAATTCCGACGTTCCGCGCTGACTCTCCCGCGTTCTCATTCGAGGCCATTAAAATTTTCCCGAGTTGTGATCTCGGGAATGTTGTTCGCGATAAATCGTCTACGATAATCGATATAGAATTTATGTGTCGTCGAGACGCGACCTGAACCAAGTATCACCTGTCGGAATGAAAGATTAAATTCTCGCCGACTTGTTTGCCGCGAGTTACACGCTCCTTCGTAGCGCGAAACG